AGAGTCTCTTGCCATGAACAAGTGCCATCCTCATTCTAAGGGACTACCAAACACACACAAATAATAAATCTGTTCATGAAAATTTTCTCCCTTTAACCCGTTCCTAGAACCAGAAATGCGCCCAATATATATTTGCTCTTAAATTATATTGAAAATTTCACTATAAATAGCAAAGAAAGGAAATCTTCTCAAACATATTAACAACTCACAACACATGCTGAGCACATAAATCCTACGCTCTGGTTGCTTGTTTAAGGAAACAATGGAATCATGGAGCTGTTAGATCTTTCCAAACAGGAACAAAGTAGATTTGCACACTATGCACTATTGACGCTGTAGAAGTTTCTGAATGATCATAAGATGTGAAGGGAGAGGCTTCCCAGTTGTGTCATTTTTAAACTTAAACCCTTATAAATGGCTAAAATCATAATAACTGCAGATGTTGGAAATCTGAAAAAGAAGCAGAAAGCACTTCAAATTCAGCAGGTCACACAGCACCTGCAGATTAAATAGATAGCTGAATTTTGAGAAGCCTTGCAGATGCCTAGAGACACAAATGTTTCTAAGTCCCATTTTTCCAACTTCTGCCTGACATAGATGCCAATGAACAAAAACAGAAATTGCTGGAAAAGCTCAGCAGGTCTGGCAGCCTCTGTGAAGAGAAATCAGAGTTAACCTTATGGGTCTGGTGACCCTTCCTAGAATTGATGGTAGCTAGGAAAATGTTGATTTTACGCAGAACATAGAGGGTAAGGAGTAAACGATAGGTGGGGATAGAGCAGTTGGACAGACAACGGAGTGGATAACTATCTGGCTGGGAGACTGAATACCTGTTAAATGGAGACTGATAGTGACTAACAATGGGTAATGTGTAATAGCAAATGGTGTGATAACAAGAGATAACACAGTGTGGAGCTGCAGGGACACAGCAGGCCAGGCACCATCGGAGAAGCAGGAAAGCTGACGTTTCGGGTCGGGACCCTTCTTCAGAAATGGGGGAGGGGTGGGGGCTCTGAAATAAAT